TATATATATATATCAGTCCCCAAAAGTTACATACTGTATAGTTCCATTTATATCACATTCATGAAACAAAAAATTACAGAACTAGAAAACAGATCAGTGATTGGCAGGGATTAAGGAGGTGATGGGAATTGGAGTAAGTGGAGGTGGTTATAAAAGGGCAACATGAGGGATCCTTATGGTCATGGAAAGAGTCTATATTTTCACTGTATTGATGTCAATAACAATATCATAGCATGCTACAGTTTTGCAAGCTGCTACCATTGGAGGAAATGAAATAAAGTATGTATTATTTCTTACAACTGCATGCTAATCTGAATGAATTATAATAAATTATGTGTAAAGCTGTGAAGAATGGGAATTCCAGACATTTAAGCGTGTTCACAGGAACCTGTACAGAGATCAGAAGGTAGTAGTTCGAGCAGAACAAGGAGATAGTACATGGTTTAAAATCAGAAAAGGGTGTGTCGGGGCAAATAAGCTGTGAAGCTAGACTATGTGAAGAGTACAGCACCAGGATTGGAGGAAGACTCATTAACAACCTGTGATATGCAGATGACACAACTTTGCTTGCTGAAAGCAAAGAGGACTTGAAGCACCTACTGATAAAGCTCAAAGACTACAGCCTTCATTGTGGATTACATCTCTACATAAAGAAAACAAAAATTCTCACAACTGGACCAAAAAGCAACATCATGATAAATGGAGAAAAGATTGAAGTGTCAAGGATTTCATTTTCCTTGGATCCACAATCAATGCCTATGATTCCAGCAATCAAGAAATCAAATGTATTTCATTGAGCAAATCTGCTGCAAAATACCTCTTTAAAAGTGTTAAAGAGCAAAGATGTCACTTTGAAGACCAAAGGGCACCTGATCCAAGCCATGGTATTTTCAACTGCCTCATATGCAAGCAAAAACTGAACAGTGAATAAGGAAGAGAAGAATTGATGCATTTGAATTATGGTGTTGGCAAAGAATATTGACTAGACCATGGACTGCCAGAAGAACAAACAAATCTGTCTTGGAAGAAGTACAGCTGGAATCTTCCTTGGAAGCAAAGATGGCAAGGCTTCACCTCTTGTACTTTAATCATGTTGTCAGGAGAGACTAGTCATTGGAGAAGAATATCATGCTTAGTGTCTTGGTTCTCTGTTGTTGTTGTTGTTGTTGTTGTTATGTGCCATTGAGTCGGACCTGACTCATAGCAACCCCTCCTTGGGTTTCTGAGGCGGTATCACTACGGAAGTAGATTGCCCAACCATCCATCCGAGGAGTGGCTCTGTTGTTGTTGTTGTTGTTATGTGCCGTCGAGTCGACCCCCGACTCATAGCGACCCCTCCTTGGGTTTCTGAGGCAGTATCACTACGGAAGTAGGATTGCCCAACCTTCCTTCCGAGGAGTGGCTGGTGGGTTTGAACCGCCAGCCTTCTGGTTAGCAGTCAAGTGCTTTAGCCACTATGCTACCAGAGCTCCTGCTATAACAGAAATACCACAAGTGGATGGCTATAACAAACCGGAGTCTAACAGTTTAGGAGGATAGAAGTCCGAGTTCAAAGTGCCAGGTGTTGGGGTTGGGTGAAGGCCTCTCAACCCTGGGTTTCAGCTCTGCCTTCTATTCCAGGACCACTAGTGCTAGAGGCTTTCTCTGACTCATGCAGTTGCTGGTTGCTAAGGTTGATGAATCCAAGACTGATAGGTAAAATGGCACAGTCCCAAGGTCAGCAGGCAAACGTGATAGACCACTGGTTCAATCCCCAAATCAGCAGGCAACATAGCAAGCCACTGAGATGAAAACTCAACCAAATGCAGGATCCAAATGTACCAGAAAGCTAGAGACCTTTCCCAAAGCTTCCCTTACACACTTGAAGAAGGTCACACCCCAAAGGCAGCTCCCTAGCTGCTCACAGCAGATTCTACCATGAAGGTGATTGCAATCTCATCATGGGGAATAACTACATCCAGATGCTGAGCTGTTCAAACCCATGGCCCAGCCAAGCTGACACATAGCTTTAACTACCACACTTAATAAAGTGGATGGTCAGTGAAAAAACAGAAGACCCTCAATGACATGGATTGTCACAGTGGCTGCAACGATGAGCTCAAACATAGCAACGATTGTGAGGATGACGCAGGACCAGGAAAGGTTTTATTCTGTTGTACAAGAGGTCACTATTGGTCAGAATTGACTCTATGGCTTCTGACAACAATAATAAGCCTGTCAATCAAAAATTGTCTTTTTAAAAGTTTAATTTAAAACAAAAAATAGTAAGATTAGTATCTTATGATCTCTTCACTAGCTTCTCCACTCCATTTCTATTTCAACCCTCCATTTAACCAGATGTCAGGAATTAGAAATCAGTCAACTGAGGGTCTCCCTACCTCCCCATAGCTAAGATTCAGGGAGCTTAACATGGCGCCACTCTTGTACTTGGTGTCATCACATACACTGTTTTCAGCTCAGAATAGTTTTCAGCCATCTGCCCGTGGAGGACATTGCAGCAGCATCCTAACCTTTGGAGCTGAAGTCTCTCTCTGTTCTCCCTCCCCCAAATGCACTTTCTATTGGCCACACAAGAGGGACTGTACTACTCTTTGCTCTCAGTGGGTTACAGGAAACCTAGACAGGCCATCTCAGGCGTATTTGCCAGATACACCAAATGGGCATTTCTTTGCAACAAAAACTGGTGGGGGGCCTTGAAAACTATCCTAGAATAAGGAATATATGGACCTTCTTTATTCTTCAGTCTCCCTGTGGTCCTCTTATGTCCCCACCCTACCCCAGGTTGATCTGGCAGCAGGGGCAGGGCTCAGAGCCACTCCTCGGGTACCTTTGCTTCCTTTCTAAATCTACCCTCTCTCAATACAAATTTGATCTATGGCAAGGACAGCAGAGGGTGTGACACTGAATATATTCTTCCAAATCTTCTGTTTTAGGCCTAGTGCTCAGATATGATCTCCTTGGTTCTCAACATTATGCTGAGTCATCCTTCAACTGAGGCAAAAATCATAGAATTCCTTAACTGCTGCTTGAATTGGCTAAAGTACAGAAAGTATGGAGGTGAACTCTCCTGTCAATACATCAAAATATTACTCTGTGACATTTTCTACCATCTTTCTCCCTTCAGCCTGCTCACCCTCCAATTTTTCTTTCCCTTCAGCTTGTGGCCCAGGTCCTAGAGCATAAAAATATAGGCTTTGTGATGGTGGATGCCAAGAAAGAAGCCAAGCTTGCCAAGAAACTAGGTAAGTGTGACTTTGAGATATATCATGAAGAAACAAATGTGTCTTGCAAGAAAAGTACAGTTGCATTTATTCTGGAATAATAACTGGACTATTTTTAAGATAAATAAAAAAAAAATTGTCATGCATACCTTAGTCTTGGTTGGAAAGCATTTCATAAAAATAAATACAGACCTGAACTGAATATAGTTTCATATTAATCATCTGATATATTTTTGTACTCATACAATGAATAGTTCCTTCCTGGAGAAAATAACACTAAAGAACTAAGCTTTTACTTTCAGCAACTAAAGCAAGCTCAAAGGCCAGCTTCTCTATTTCTCCACTATAGTGATCATTCTGAGAGGGATAGGATCTCTTCTTCCATCACCTATTTTTTCCTTGTGTCTTAGCTGAAGCAAGCAACAATATAGCTTTAATAGTAGTGACTCTGGGGTCCAAGTGGCTTCCAAATTTAAGGCTACAGCCCAGCTGGGCATTATCACCAAGGATGACAGGGAGGATTTAGGAGAGGAACGGTTAAGTGACTACACAGTAGAAGTTGTAATCTCTTGTGTCAATAGGTCATACTTAAGAGCAAGTGAACTTTAAAATTCCTATTCCTATACTCCCAAGGACAGAGAATGCAGGTAACTCCTCCAGTTTTCAAACACCCACACACATGTGCTGCACATTTGGCTTTTTCTGCATGGCCAGTGAAGAAAGGCTATTAAAAAATAACAGGAGGTTATAAAACAGGACCTTTGAAGAAAGGTTAATTGGATTTGGAGTAGTAAGCAAAGGGAAAAAAAAAAGCAAGATTAGTGGTGGTTCAATAAATACTTGCAGGTCCATGAAAGTTCATTATCCTAGGGAATTACAGACAACTGTTTTCTATCTTATTTTAAAGAAGGCCAGATTTTTCAAAAAGATTTAAATTACAGGAGTCAATATTTAGGTTAGACACAAAGAACTCATGACCACAAAATGATAATGAATTATTACAAATGTCTGTGGTATCTGTTTCCCTGGAGATAAATTAAGCAGAGAAGCAAGGTAGGTTAAACTCTTTCCCTAGAATCAAAAGAAACAACAAATTCTGCTTCCTCCTTCGGCAGCCTACTGAGTCCTTGGACATCTCTCTTCTCATGGTTTTTATGAGAAATTAAATTTGGGAGAATGTCCAATAAATTTAGTTAGAGGGAAACAGTGATGTTCCAGAAACCTGAGAGTTTAAGGAGTACAAACTGAGGCAAGCATTAATAAGAATATACCAGTGGGTATTCTCCCAGTAAACACATGAAGGAGCTTGGTATGCCTAAATGAAACTTTCTCTAAGCTCAACCTGGGTGAATTGGGGTGGCATCTTTCTGGCTATTCGATCATGGAGTTTCCTGAACAGTGGCTGTATTTTGTGAACCTGCTCCTTCATATTTATTCCTCTTCCATTTGCCTTAGTTTGGCTCCCATCAGGTTCTGCCTGAACTAGTGCAATAGCCTAACTCAGAACAAAATCCAACAGTGGGCTCTGACTGGTGTATCTATTGAGATCAGCCATTTGCTGACTCCAAGGATAGCTGCCATAGTGTTCCTTTTGTTTTACAATCAATGGTCCCTAGTGTGCCAGGGGTTCCTTACAGTTGTCTTGAGGGACAGCAGGAAGTGCTACTGTAGGTTCTTCAGAAGAGTTCATTTCATTCTCCAGCTAATAGAGACTTTGAAAACAATTAATCTAAGGAATTGGGATGCTATGCATCTGGACTAAATGTCAGCTTCAGCTATCTAGCATTCCTGGGGGAAAATATCATTTTCCAGGAAGGATTTGTTAAAGTACACAGCATTACACCAAGAGTGATAGAGGGTACGAAAGGAGAAGACGCCCTTGCAGTGTTTACCAGCTACCTGGAAAAGAAGATGTACAGGATTCAGCCAGAAAAGGAGAGCAAGGAATTCATTTTATCAGCTAACATTTATGGAGTACTTATTGTGTCCAGCATCTGTGCAAAGAACTAGGGTACCAAGAAGACTGTGGTTCTACTGTCAGAAAGCTGTTGCCATTTTTGTTGTTAGCTATCACCACATTATCCTTGACTCATGGCAACCCCGTACACAATGGGATCAGATTCATAGGGTTTTCTTTTGTGGATTTTTAAAAAATAAATCACCAGTCCTTTCTTTCTAGTCCATCTCAGTCTGGAAGCTCTGTTGAAACCTGTTCAGCATCACAGCAATGCCCAAGTTTCTAGTGACAGAAGGATGGTGGCTGTGCTTGAAGAGCATTGGCTGGGAATAGAACCTGGGTCTCCTACATGGAAAGCAAGCATTCTACCACTGGTCCACCACTGCCCCCTTTCTGTTATAGTTGTTGTTGTTGTTGTTGTTATGTGTCATCGAGTCAGTCCCAACTCATAGCAACCCCTTCTTGGGTTTCTGAGGCAGTATCACTACAGAAGTAGGATTGCCCAACCTTCCTTCCAAGGAGTGGCTGGTGGGTTTGAACTGCCAGCCTTCTGGTTAGCACTCAAGTGCCTTCGGCACTATGCTACCAGAGCTCCTATGTTATAGTGCACACCTATAAATGGAACTGGAGACTACTAATCAAGCCAAGAGTCCAGTGATATGCTCTGGTGGCGTAATGCCTAAGGTACTTGACTGCTAACTAAATCTTTCAAAAAGCTGGTGATTCAAACCTACCAGCCACTCCTTGGAAGGAAGACTGGGCAATCTACTTCCATAGAGATACCACCTTGGAAACCCAAGGAGGGGTCGCTATGAGTTGGAATGGACTTGATGGCAATGAGTTTATCAGGAAAATGAGTCTTGGCTGAGGTTTGAAGGTTTGGGAACAGAGAGAACATAGTATAAAAGATCCATGCTCTGTGGCATTTCCCTTGGAACATGTGCACAAGGACAAAAGGAACAACACCAGGGATTGAGAGATCATTTCTCAAAGGATAACATGTCTACACAAGGGAAAATGAATGACATAAGGTTAGCACTAGATTGTGGAGAGAATTGACTGTCAGGCTTAGGAGGTCAGGGAAGTGGTGGAATCATTAAACCTTTTTAATATAGAGAAAGACAGGAGGTCACCAGAGTTTTTGAAAAATTAAAGCAGTGGTGGTATGGAAAAGAGATTTTTCTTTTAAGTTCAAATTCAGATTGGTTCCTCACTATTTCAAATTCAATTCTTAATCTGGGAGCTCTTTAGTGGTGTTTTCAGGGAACTGGTCCTTGGGTTAATGCTAGTTCCATTGGTCCTGACCCAACCATTACTGAAGACCCAGAGCCAGACCTCAGACAACACAATGGTTCCTCCTGCATCAGGATAACATTGTACTGGGATCTCTTTGTTTCCTCCAGGTTTTGATGAAGAAGGAAGCCTGTATATTCTTAAGGGTGATCGCACAATTGAGTTTGATGGAGAGTTTGCAGCTGATGTATTGGTGGAATTTCTCTTGGACGTAAGCATATACACACAATGGTCCTTCATGGAGCTATTTAGGCTCAAATAATATGGGGGAGGAAGAGAGTAAAACTCTAAAGTGAGAACAGAGAAACTGGAGAACCTGACCTGGTCTTAAACAGATTTATCAGGCCTCACAAAGAAATCAGAGAAGCTTCTACATCACAGTATGGTTTACTTCTTCTAGGAAGCTGGTCCTTAAGTCACTTTGGGAACTTTTTTTATTAATGACCAGAAGGTAACAAATCAAGGCTGTGTAGTAGTTACATGCTAATTCTCTTACCAGTTATAGAGTGACATCCACTGAAATTCCCTTGGCTTTGCTCCAGTGCTGCTAAAGAGAGCTGGAGAGTGTGGGAAAGAGATTTGAAGATAGAATAGGGAGTAAAAACCATTTAAGTTATTCTGAGTTATCCTCAAAGTAGAACAAAGATGAGGCAGGACTAAAGAGCTCCCCCAATACCTAACTCATTCTCAGCCATAGAGGTATACACACCCTCAGATCCGTATGTTCACACCTAGGAACAAACATTATAATAGTACTTTCTCCATAGATAAACTCACACTTTTACTCACAGCTGTGAAGCTAAATGCTTGTGAACACAGATCCCTGTACAGATGAAGAACCTATTGTTGAACATCCATACAGATTATTCCTATTGACTGGCTGGTACCAATGGTCTATTGCTTTTCTTCAGAGCCTCCAAAACCCAGGGAATGGATCAGAAGTGAGTAAATGGCCATCTCCTACATAAAAGCTATAGACCATGTCTCACTCTCTCATTGATCCATATACTTCAAACCCTAAAATAACTGAGGGGCCAACAGAACAGCTCTGGGTCAACATAGTATTGTCCCAATTCTATCAGCTTGGAGGAGGCTTTCAGATGCAAATAACAGAACCCAGAAACCAGCTACCTTAAATAATAAGCAATGTGATTGACCCAGATAAGTGGAAGACCAGAGTTAGATCAGATTTTAGACTTGATCAGGGCTCTAGCTCCATTTTCTCTGTAAATCCAAGATAATGCTGTTTTCAGTACATTGGCTTTGTCCTCAAGCCAGTTACAAGATGATCAGCAACAGGAGTTGCTGATGAAGGAGTACATCATACTCCTTCATTTGTATCTAGTGGCTTCCCACTGCTGTCTCAAGAATAAAGAATTTTCCAAAAGCCTTTCAGCAATTCTCTCCTGAAGTCTCATTGGCCAGAATTAGGTCACATGCCCATTCTTGAATCAATAACTGGCAAGAGGAATAGAAATGCCTACAGACTAGTCATCCCACCTTTTGAATTAAGGCCAATTCCTCAAAAGGTACTGCTTACAATACTTATTGTGGGAAGGGTGAGATGGCTACTTATATGCCAACCACAAAGTCCACTACAATGTCCTTCTGAAGCACTGTATATTTGTGCTTGATTTCCCTATTGGAGAAAGAATAGCTCTCTTATTTGGATATTTGTGTGCATGTGTGTGTGTGTGTGTGTGTGTCTATCTGTCTGTCTGGCATTTCAGGTAATTGAAGACCCAGTGGAGATCATTAATAGCAAATTGGAAGTCCAAGCCTTTGAACGCATCGAGGACCACATCAAACTCATTGGCTTTTTCAAGAGTGAGGACTCAGAATGTAAGTTGTGTGTAAACCCCAGCCTATGAGTCTGAAGGCTAGATTCCCAATAAGGGATATTAGAGTATCCCTAAAGAAGATGTGTCATCAGCATCACCTGCTCCCTGAGCAATGAAACCAGCATGCAAAAATTATGCAAAACCTGCAAAGGAGCTTAAAGAACATCTCATAATGACCCCTCCTTGGGTTTCCAAGGCAGTATCATTACAGAAGTAGATTGCTCAATCTTCCTTCCCAGGAGTGGTGGGTTTGAACCACCAGTCATCTGGTTAGCAGTCAAATGCCATAGGCACTAAGCCACCAGAGCTCCTTAAAGAACATCAAGGTTGAGCAATGTTCTTTGACCTTGAAGGGACAAGGCAGGGAGGGGGTGGGGAATGTTTCACATAGAGAAAAGTTGTCCATCTTCTTTTCCCAGTGGCCCACTTCCTAGTCAGAGTCTCCCCTAAAATGAGGCAAACAGTGGGTCTTCTCTCTGACATTGATAGCTTCTGTGTTCACCAGCTGGACAGCTGTTCAGACTTGGAAAGGATTGGAGGAAAATCGGGGTAGGGATGGGCTCCACATCTGCTGCCCAATGTTGAAAATTGCTAACCAAGCTAACAGCTTACCACTGAGGCTGTCTGCCATGCTCCAGCCACACCCTTGGGCATATTTCCTTTGAAAGGTTTGTGGTTAGGTTTTGGGTGGGCACGGGGACATATCATTGCATCACCACAGACCGTACAGGGGTGAAAATATGGTGGATAGGAGTCAGGAGAGCAGGGAGAAAGGACCAGGAAGGGAAACTATGAGTACCTTTTTTAAACTGCTTTGGTAGAATGGGCCCCATGAGTAAGTCTTTTGCTGGTGTCTCAGCCTTGGAGAAAGGGAAAGTGTTAGAAAGAGTGGGCATAAATATGAAAAAGTATCTGGTAACATTATTTCATGTGGGAGGTATGCATATGTGCTACTTATGACTATTTCTGGAAATCCCAAAATATTTTGAAATTATTTGCAAAGCTATTTCTTTACCCCATCTGCCAATCAGCTTCCTTAGTCACCTCATCAACCATAACCCATCTGTTCTCCTTCTTCCATGTCCCAACTTGACCACCTTGTTGTTTGCATCACTAAGTACTCCATTCATGGTGCTTAAAATGAATATGGTTTTGGGGGAGGTGGCTAGCCAGAGAGTTTTTCCTCAGTTTTTCTTTAAAAATCCACTGCCATTGAGTCGATTCCCACTTATAGTGACCCTATAGGATATAGTAGAACTGCCCCACAGGGTTTCCAAAGCTGTAAATTTTTATGGAAGCACACTGCTTCATCTTTCTCCTGCGAAGAAGCTGTGAGTTTGGACATCCAACCTTTTGATTACAGCCCGACGTTTTAACTACAGCACTGCCACAGCACCTCTAATTCCTCTTTAGCTGAGTTTATTTTAATGTGCATATTCCTATACAGGTGCCAAGGAGCTCTGATGGTGCTGTGGTTAAAGTGGAATATAGGCTTGGTAATCTGCTTCTGAGAAGTCACAACTTTGAAAACCCTGTTCAGTAGTTCTCTACACATGGGGTCACCATGAATTGGAATCAACTTCACAACAACTAACAACAGCAATAACAACAGGCTTTAGGACATTTAAATCTTTTCTCTCCATTAGAGAGCTATCTTGTGTTAAAGAACCAGCATGGTTTACATCATGGCACAATTTCTTATTTTGATGCTGCCATACAAATAAGACATTTAGGCTGAGAAGAATACTAATTTGAGAAAGAACTTATAATGTGCACTCGGAATGTGTGCCCAAATAGTCACAAGTATTTTTGAGCTACTCTATGTGTGATTATGATGACTTTCCAGCAAGCCTATTACTGTAGAAAAATAAAATAACTTTAAAAATGCAATCTATCCTCAGAAGGAAAGTTGGGCAATCTACTTCCATAGAGAAACCCAAGGAGGGGTTGCTATGAGTTGGAAATAACTGGATGGCAGTGACTTTGTTTTTTTTTTAATTTTTATCTACATGAAAATACTAAAGGAAATAATAAGCCTTTTTAACTTCAGAGACTGACTTTTGAAATAATTTATATTATCTGCATTTTGAGACTTGGATACATTTCAAAACTAAGCACAAAGGAAGCATTTAAATGTTAAATTTCACTTTGATTCAATATTAAAATTATGCAAATGTGGCAAAATATAAATATTACTTTCACCCATAGTTGAGTGAAGGTAAAGATGCAATTATATTTTGAAATACCAACCTAGAAAACCACTTGGTTCCATCCTTTATCTTAAAAGGGATGTAGACTAGCCTCCTAAGAGAAGAAGAGAAGCTCCTAAGACAAGTCCAGACCATCCTTTCCATCAGGGTAGGAGTTCCTGGTGGTGGGGAGAGATGCATCAGGGACATGGGGATCAAGGAAAAGAAAAGAAGGGATTATATGGAGCCCACTGATGGTCTGGACACAAATGGCTTAGGTATTGCTTTAACCATTCTATCTACTCTCCCACCTTCTCTCTATTTATTCTGCAAAGTCTTCAACCAAGCACCCATCTTATCTGCCATCACCCAATCCTCTATCCTAGCTATCAGGCTATATAAGATGTTTTTTCTTATTACCCAATTCCTTTTATGAGGAGGAGCTGGTGTGAGTATGTACCAGAATGTATGAGTGTTCTTATAAATTTGTCAGTTCCTCTCTCATCTGTGCCTGTTGCACTTCCCTCTATTATAGCAAATATCACATAGTGTGTGATTATTTAAGGGTCCATAACCCTCCCAGGGCTGTGAATCTTTTTAGATGAGTGTCCTTGTCTCACTCATCATGGTATCCTCTGAGTTAGCATTATTCTTGGTGTGTTTTTTGATAGAATATTAGACAATTCTAGGAGCTCCAGTGGGTGCAGTGCCTAAGGCATTTGACTGCTATCAGAAGGTTGGCAGTTCAAACCCACCAGCCACTCCATGGAAGGAAGATTGGGCACTCTACTTCTGTAAAGATTTACTGCCTTGGAAACTCAGTGGGGGTTGCTATGAGTCAGAATCGACTCGATGGCATTGCATTTGGTTTTTTAATTTTTGGTAGAAAGTTCTTCATGCTCCCAGGATTCTAGGAAAAGCTTGCCCCATTATGATTAAGTGAGATGAATTCTATGAAATGGGAAAACAAATAATAATTTTGTTAAGAATAAATTAGAATTATTGACTCTCAGCATTGTATGGTTTATTCAGAAGAACAAATCCCCACGCCCACTCACTACTACTGCCGTTGCCATCATCCTCACGTCTAAAGTTTAAATAATAATATCATTACCAAGTGCCTTCTAGGCACTCACACACACAGCATGTAGTCTCATGCTTACTTTGGCCAGTTTGGACTCAAGTTTGAGAACAAAGTAAAGTTAGGCTTCATTAATTTTTAATCATTCTTTCAAGGGATAATAATAATAATAATAAACCTTTAAAAAGAGGAAAAGAAAACTAGAATTTATCAACAGGAATATTGATGTTAAGAAATATTTATATGATGTCATTTTTGACTGAGTGATGTTTCTTTTTACGTAGAGCTCATTGAAGCAGTAAACTACACTCTCTCTACAGGTCACAATTTTAACTAGCAATGAATTTGAGTGAGAAGATTTTTTCTTTTCATTTGGAATTTTTCATTTCTTTTTCTCTCCTTCTTTCCTTTATCTATTTTCTCCTTTCCATCTACCAACTTCTTGAAAGTGTGATAGAGATGCATTCTCTTAGGTTACTGGATGCCAGGTGATTAAAATTCCTTGGAGGAAGGGAAGGCAACTCTGGATTTAAATTTTACTAAATAATTATCTACATTGTTGTTGTTATGTGCCGTTGAGTCAGCCCCAACTCATAGCAACCCTTCCTTGGGTTTCCGAGGCGATATCACTACAGAAGTAGCATTGTCCAACCTTCCTTCTGAGGAATGGCTGGTGGATTTGAACAGCCAGCCTTCTAGTTAGCAGTCAAGTGCCTTAGGCACTATGCTATCAGAGCTCCTAATTATCTACATTGCTTAGTCCTAATTGGCTTGCTATTCTCCCTACATCATGTAAAAAGAGAAATGTCTGGATTGTGCATCTTGAAAAATGTTTCTCCCTTTCATCTATTCCCTATTAGATTACAAGGCCTTTGAAGAGGCAGCTGAGCACTTCCAGCCTTACATCAATTTTTTTGCCACCTTCAACAAAGGAGTAAGTACCTGTGAAAGTCCAATTTGAACACTTTTTTAGGCACAAAGGAACACACTTTGTACAACTTTCCACTTTTTCTTTTCTTTAAATCATCTCTTCCTTTGCTTCTTTCTCCAGAAGCATTAGAGAAATGACAATAAATCACTATTGAATGAGAGATGAGTACAAAGATGGTTAGTTTGGAGAATCTAAAGATATTTCTGAAAATAACCAATGAAAAATATTGACCTGCCTCTTATATTCTCATACACAAAGAATGAGAAATGTGTGAGCCCAGAGTGTGCCTGGCCACTGGGTCACTACTTCTTTGTTCTTTAGGAAGCAACCTCTCCCTTCCTGGGCTTTCATGTTAGGATGGATAATGGGGTGGGGAATAGCATTGAGCACCTGAAGCATTAGGTGCTCTAGAAAGTCACCTGCATCCTCAGATGTCACTGATTTACTCTTCTATAATTCAATTGTTCATTATATTCTGGATGTGGCAAGTGCTTTTACAAATGATAGAACAGCAGAGATAGAGGGTCCTTGAATCAATGATTAATTTGTTTGGAGCTACTGTGGACAGAATATTCTATTCCGGTTCTGGTTACTATTAAAATGGTTGTTATTTATTGAGTTCTTCCTGTGTGTCGGGCACAGTTCTATATATTGAATATTTATCATTTCAAATCCCTTAAACAACTCTAAAAGGGAATCATTATTCCCACTTCTCAGATAATAAAAGTGATTTAAAGAGGTTAAGTAGCATCCAAAGTCTCCATAGAATTAATGGTAGCATTGAAATCCTAACTTAGGACAACCTGGGTCCAAAACCTGTACCCTTTGCTCTGTCCTACACCATTCAATAGAGGACCCTATACTCACTCTTGAGATTTGGGAACAGAAATCACCATATTTGCTACAAAAAAATAGACCTAGGACAAACTAAGTCTTTGATCAAGGTCAAGTAAAGGTAATCAGAGAGTAATCAGCTAAGGAGTAAGACAGTGACAAGCAATTCTCAAGGCCTTTATACTATGAAGAATTGAGGACTACTGTGTGAAACAAGAGGAAGTCTCTGGGTGCTGGAGCAGGGAAAGGACATGAGGCAAAGAGTTCATGTTCATCTATATACATATATACATTGAACCTCTTCTATGTATATGGCCCCTGTCCTCAAGCCTATAACCCAGAAGGGAGATCTGTAATACAAGTACTGCTGAAGATGGTTTTATTAGTTATATTAGAGTTGGTAGAGACTTTGATTGAGCAAGAATACCAAAAGAATAATAACTATCATTTATTAAGTTCATATTATATGCCAGGCTCTGTGCTAAGAACTTTATATAGATTTTCTATCTGCATCCTCACAAGACCCCTATAATAAAGGGATTATTACTCTTATTCTACAGAGGATGAAATTGAAACACCAAGAGGTTAAGTGATTTGCTCATGATTACCTGAGCTAGTGAGTAAAGAAATTTGATTTAATCATAAGTCAGCCTGATTCCTAAGTCAGTGTTCTGTGCTACATTCCAGAAAAAGTATATAGTATATATAAAATGCTCAGCTGGTGTTTGGCACATAGTCTAGGACCAGGAGGAAGGAGGTTGGTATAAGATATCAATAGAGAAGGGGAGGTAAGGAGAAGCCTATACTGAATCCATCAATGATGGTTAGTCATAATGGGCCAGGAGTGACTAAGGTGGTTCCTGGGTAAGAACTCATCTGAAGGGAAGAGAGTCAGGCAGACAAGCTTGGTCAATCAGTAAAGCTTTAATTCTTGAAGAGGTTGTCTAGTTCTGAATTCATAGCAGTATCTGTTTTCAGAAGTGCCTCCCAACCCAACCATATGCCTTGCTGTCTGTAGCCCATGAAGAAGGTGAGGTCAGGCCACAACTAAAAACTGAGAAATCTGCTTCACTTAAAAGGCTGAAAGACACTGAGTCATAAGTGTCACCACTGTTCATGCAGTCTTATGGGTTGTCATAACAGTTACAAAGAGAAAGATACATTCTCTCCACCTCTGTATGGAACATAGAGGCTGGCTATTGCACTGAGAAAACTCTTATGCTGTTTAAGACTTAAGAATTTGCACCCACTTGGGAAGTTCAACAATGCTCAATGAGAGATGGGGTTTAAGAAGGCATTGCTGTATCCAGTAAAAGTGTTAGTAGTTGTCAATAGCAAGTGCTAGAGAAGAAGTTGGGGGGCGGGAATGGATGTCATGTGGTCCTGAAAGGTCAAAGACCACTTGTAAGACTCTTCCTAGGCCACAAAGCAAGTATCAAAAACTTTAAAAATATTGAAATACTGCAAAACATCTTCTCAGATCACAATGCTATAAAATTAGAAATCGACACTAGGAAGACCAAAGGAAAAAGAGCAAATGCATGGAAACTTAATAACACCCTCCTTAAAAATGACTGAGAAATAGAAGAAATAAAAAATGAAATAAAAAAAAAATCCTTGAATCATACAAGAATGAAAACACAACATACCAAAATCATTGGGACACAGCAAAAGCAGTGATCAGAGGTCAATTTATAGCAATATATGCACACATCAAATAGAATAAAGAGCCAAAATCAACACCTTAACCCAACAGCTCCAATAATTAAAAAAAGAGCAGCAAAAAAAAAAAAAAAAAAGCCTACAGTCACCAGAAGAAAAGAAACAATAAAGATTTGAGCAGAAATAAATGAAACAGAAAATAGAAAGGCAATAGAAAAAATCAACAACCAACTAAAAGTTTTTTGAAGAGATTAATAAAATTGACAAACCACTGGCAAACTTAACAAAGAAAAAGAAGGAGAAGATGCAAATAACACACATAAGAAATGAAATGGGTGACATCACAACAGAATAAACAGAAACAAGAAGAATAATATCAGAATACTACGAAGAACTGTACTCCAACAAATTTGAAAACCTAGAAGAAATGGACAAATTTCTAGAAGCACACTACTTACCTAAATTAATACAGACTAACACAGGAAATCTGAACAGACCCACACAAAAGAAGAAATTGAACAGGTATAAAAAAATTACCAACAACAAAAATTCCTGGCCCAGATGGTCTCACTGGAGAGTTCTACCAATCATTCAGAGAAGAGCTGACTACAATCCTACTAAAACTATTCCAGAACATAAAAAAGGATGGAATCCTCCCTAATTCATTTATTGAAGCAAGCATAATCTTGATACCAAAACCAAGCAAAGACACCACTAGAAAGGAAATTACAGACCAATATCCCTCATGAACATAGATGCAAAAATCTTCAACAAAATCCTAGCTAATAGACTCCAACAACATATCAAAAAAATAATACTTCATGACCAAATGGGATTGACAACAAATATGTAAGGATGGCTCAGCAAGAAAAAACAATCAGCATAATCCATCACATATGTAAAATAAAGGAAAAGAATCACATGATCATATCAATAGCTGCAGAAAAGACATTTGATAAAATCCAACACCCATTCCTGATAAAAACTCTCAGAAAAATAGGAATGGAAAGGAAATTCCTCAACATAATAAAGGGCATATATGCAAAACCAACACCCAACATTATTCTCAATGGAGAGAGACTGAGACCACTCCCTTTGTTAACAGGAACCAGACAAGGATGCCCTCTATCTCCACTTCTATGCAATATTGTATTGTAAGTCCTAGCCAGGGCAATAAGGCAAGAAAAGGAAATAAAAGGCATCTAAATTGGTAAGGAAGAGGTAAAACTACCCCTATTTGCAGATGATCTGATCTTATACATAGAAAACCCAAGAGACTCAGCAAGACAAGTACTGGAACTTATTGAAAGATTTACCCTTGTGGCAGGATACAAGACCAACATACAAAAATCAGTTGGATTCCTCTACACCAGCAAAGAGGTCTCTGAAATGGAAATCAATACCATTTACAGTAGCTACCAAAAAGATAAAATACTTGGGAATAAATCTTTCCAGAACACAAAAGACCTATACAAAGAAAACTACAAAACACTACTTCAAGAAAGCATAAGAGATCTACATAAATGGAAGAACATTCCATGCTTATGGACAGGAAGACTGAACGTTGTGAAAATGTCAGTTCTACCCAAAGCAATCTATACATTCAATGCAATCCCAACCAGATCCCATCAACATTCTTTAAAAGCATGGAAAAACCAATCATTAATTTTATGTGGAAAAGAAAGAGAGCTTGAATAAGCAAATCACTATTGAAGAAGAACAAAGAAGGGTACCACACTCCCAGATTTCAAAACCTACTATACAGCCATGGTTGTCAAAACAGCCTGATATTGGTACAACAGACACATAGACCAGTGGAACAGAATTGAGAACCCAGAAATAGATCCATTGACCAATGGTCAGTTGATCTTTTGCAAAGGGCTGAAATCCAATGGGGAAGAGATAATCTCTTTCACAAATAGTGTTGGTAAAACTGGAATTCAATTGCAGAAAATAAACAAGATCCATACCTCACACCATGCAAAAAAACGAACTCCAGATGGATCAAAGCCTTGAATGTGAAACCTAAAAGTATAAAGTTCATCAAAGAAAAAAATACGGTCAAAGTTAGGGGCCCTAATTTATGGCATAAACAGACTATCAAGCATAACCCAAGATGCACAAACAGCAGAAGATAAAATAGATGACCGGAACCTTCTAAAAATTAAATTCTATGTGCATCAAAAGATTTCTCCAAAAGAGTAAAAAGAGAATGTACAGAATGGGAAAAAATATTCAGCAATGACATATTGGACAAAGGCCTTATCTCTAAAATTTATAAAACTTCAACACCTCAACATCAAAAAAACAAACAATCCAAATAAAAAATGGGCAGAAGATATGAACAGATACTTCACCAAAGAAGATATTCAGACAGCCAACAAACACATGAAGAAATGTTCATGATATTAAAAACTTGAACCAAACTCACTGATGTTGAGTCAATTCAACTCATAGCAACCCCTCCTTGGGTTTCCAAGGTGGTATCTCCTTGGGTTTTCGAGGCA